CCTCCATTAGGGAAAACTTCTCTTGGCTGGTCCCTAGATCTGTGCCTTTATACAGCCGTTATGGCTTCAAATTAGTTTGGATTGACCAAAACACAGAAATCTGGACTAGCTGAACTTCCAGTATCCTTATGGGAAGAAGAGAGACTAGAAATATAGTCATGCAATTGGGTCAGCTGTTTCAGACACCATCATTAAGCTTTATAACTACAGAATCAATATTTTTAACCTTATGCATACCTTTGCCAACCACTGATACTGCCATTGTTTAACTTGCATCATGCCTTCAGTGATGGAATTCATATACAGATCCATTATGTCTGTGAAGCTCAAAGTCAAGAAAGGGCTAACAGGGGAGCCATCTCACTGTTGCTGTCCACTGAACTGGGCTCCAACGCCATAGGATAGACAGTATAGAAAGCTAAAGGATAAGCTGCATAGAAGAAATAGGGGAGAGATCCCCAAATAGGAAATAAAGCAAAGAAACCTGCACGTACACAGTCAATGGGAATTACTTGTACTTAAGTCCATGCTGGGTGTTTAGGAGACTTATGTTTACAGCTCTTCTCCTTGCTTTCAATGATCCTGCCAGCAACCTAGAAGGTACCAAATGATAGCATAATGCTGAAGTTTGTGGGCTCTGTTGCCATCCTACCTAGGTTCAAATCTTATTTTGTTCTACCAGCTGTGTGATATTGGGCAAGTTACTTGAACTCTCTATGCCTGTTTCCTCATCAGTCAAATTTAGATGGTAATAATGGCACCTACCTTGTGGGAATGATGCAAGTATTAAATGATTTAATGCACATAGCATGCCTAGACAGTACCCAGCACTTAGTAAATGTCTGATAAATGGTAGCGATTATGATTATTCACTGTAGAGGAGCAACATTATGCTAGTTGGTACAGTAGCACTCCAAGATTAGGGATCTCAATCAACATTTTCATTTTTCTCCACAGACCATAATAGTTACCACTTGGTGAGAACTTATCAGGCACCAGAAATCATAATAAATACTTCTAGATGAAGAAGCTGGTGCCTTGAAAAGTTGATGCCTCTTCTAATTCTTCCAGGAAGCAGGTGATAGGAGTTTCCTCTTGTATATACTCACAAAAAGCTTTCTCATTCTTAAATGTTTGAGCTAATATAACAGAAAAACAATGCAATTTCTCCAACAGACACTTTTTTAAAAACTGTCAGGACAATAGAGAATTCCCAATCCAAAGCTCATATATGCCACCATCATATTGTAAAGCCTTCCTGCTAGTGGAATCATCTGTGAATGTATCAAAATTTATTTTTTTAAACCATTTTGCTTTCTTACATGTTGTTTCTTCAGGGTGGGGCAGTGAGGAGTGTTTTGAAGGTGGCAGATTGGAAAATGGCAAAAAACAACTAAAGAAATAAAGCAAGCAGGCTCTAGGAAAGCATGAACACCATTATACTGAATAAAAAGAGTTGGGGAGGAGCCCCTGGTCTTACATCAGATGACTTGTCTTAATTTATTTCTAGGACATATGGGTGTACTATGTGTATGCTTTGTTCCAAGAACCATAGTAGTCTCCAGGGATACAATGAGGTTCCAGAAGATAAGACTGTACCTGCAACAGCCATGGGACCTTGAACCAGCAGAGGGAAGGATCCCCTCTGAGGCCAGTGCTGAGGATAGTGAAAGGAGAGAAGCCAACCTGAGCTCTCATTTCCAAAGGTGGCTTGAACAACCCAGGCCTGGCCCTTAGCCAGCTGGGTGACACCCAGCACGTCTGTTTCTTCATTTGAAAAAGAAGCCAGTGAGAGCCATGTCCCAGGGTTACTATGAAAAATAACAATTTCTCAGAGTTACTGTGAAAAATACCCAACTAAGGCAGAGCAGGGTCCTAGCATTACGCTTAGCACAGGAGAGATGTTTCATTTATATGAGATTCCCACCTTCCTGTTCCCAACCAACCACCCCGAGAGTACCCAGAGGCTGGTTAGACGATAGCTCCTGAGAAAGGCAGCCTGGACTTAAATATTTGTCCTCCCACTTATTAACTGTGTGACATTGGTCAAGTCACTTAAACTTTCCATGACTCAGTTTCCTCATCTGTAAAATGGAGATAATAAGCAACTATCTCATCAAAGATGTGTGAAAATTAAATGTAAATGAATGTGTTCAAAGATCAACAGAGGAGCATGAAAGTTTTTAAAGCTGATTTGAGCAAGCATTGATTTCTATCTGGCAGCAGCGAACCAAAAGGGCATCCACCACCATGAGCTAGGAGAAAGGCTTTCACAGAGGAAACAGAGGTGTGGCGTAAGGAAATGACTGATTGGCCAGAGTGTATAAGTGGTCGCCTCATTTGGGGACGCCTGTTTGAGCTGGTTGATTTTAAGTGTCATGTTTGCTGGTACAAGTGCACTTGCAGTGGACTCTGGCTGGGATCTGCTCATTCACACTCCCAAGGCATTGGAACCACCTCGGTCTTCCCTTGTTGAATGACTTTAGCCAATGTGACAGGTGGCAGAATACACACTTAGGGTCCTTCCCACTCCCTAGATTTTAGCTCCTTTACTTCATCCAACAATACCATAACGGATGTTGTTTTCTCCCATTTTATGGACAAGAGAACTGGGATGCGGGCTCTCAATGCAGCCTTGCAGGCTCACCCAGCCAGCAACCACAGCAGAATTTAAACCTAGGACGTCACCCTCTAGAATCAAGACTTAGTCATTGATTTTTTTTTAAATTCACTGAAGTAACGTTAGTTTATAACATAATGCCGATTCTGATGTGCAGACTTACATATCCATGGTCTGTATTTGCCTACTTCTTATAAGCCTACTTCTCGTTACCTATTGTTAACATGTAGTTGAGGCACCAGAAGAAAGATAGACTGGCAATTCTAAAATGCTCCGTTCCTTCTTCTGCCCCTTCTTTTCAATCCCCAGTTCCCAGCTCTTCTCAACCACTAGCATCCCTAATACAATGTTTAAAAGCTTAGGGTTTGATATCATCCAAGATCCCCACTCTAATCAAATGTAGGTTCAATGTGATGGTTAGACTTAATTAGAGTCAAATTCCTCTTTTATTTTGGTTTTATCTTAATCATCCCTTTTATCCACTGGTCCAGAGGCCTATAATTTCCCACAAAGGCACTCTGAGATGTGGTATTATGCATTCAGGACCACGAGACAAACAGTTTGTTGATATACACACCCACTGCCAGAAAACGTGTCTCTGAAATTATTGCAGCAGGACACCATAGAAAAAAATGTCATCTCTCCAAAAGACACTTTTCTGAAGTAAGTTGTAGAACAACGCGTTTTCCTTGAAAATCTCCCCAATGAAAAGAAGGTACGTGTGAGATCCAAGCATAGGATTTCAGAAAGCAGTGACTTGCAGGGAAAGTGGGGTAAGCAGAAGCATCAAGATCCCCTCATCTTGGAGGAGGAAGAAGCAATCACTGAATTTTAGAGCTTAAAGGTATTTCAAAGTCCATCTAATCCAGTTCTTTGCAAACTCTTTTTAAGTGCAGATTCTTTTGTTCAAATGAAATCTTACCCTGAAGATTTATATAAAAGCTGAAGTGCTCTTATTGTGTCAGAGGGGAGAAGTCTAGGGCCTCACCCACTCCACTCCCATCTTCGCACCCCCCAACAGCTCCTGTGAGGAACCCCTGGGGTTCCTCAATTTGAAAATCACTAATCAATTCCAACCTCTTCCTTTGACCGCTGGGGAAAATGAGGCCGAGAGATACTATCCCACTAAGCCTGAGTTTATGCAAAAAATCAGCAGCCAAGGGGACTGACTCCCTTATTTTTCCTCAGTGATTTTTCCATGATGATACCCAGAGTCCTGGAGTCAATTGCCTTTTGGTTTCTTCAGACCATTGTTTGTATTTGTGTGTTTGTGCCCAGGCAGGCCCAGTGTCCAGTGTTCCCAAGAAAACCTAACAAACCAGTCCCTGCCTCCACTCTAAAGCTAGGAGTCTGCGGTTTGGACACAAAGTCTCAGCTGCCCAGGAGAGCCCAGTTCAAGGCTGATAAACACACCCCAGTGACCACCCAGGACTGGGCAGTCCGTGCCTCTATGGGTCCACTTCTGCTTTCATGGGGAAGAACTGCAGAGCAGGTGACTCTGGGCAAGACATCTGAGAACTGACATCCCTCAGCTCCCCCTGCCCCACCTATAGACAGATAAATCTTTCTTCACCTATCAGTAAAGAGGAAGAGAAAGAGCTCACCACAGCCAGAGATATTAGAATCTGAATAAGCTGAACTAAGTTAATAACCTGTCCTATCAGTACTTTAGTAGGAGACTGTTTATATGCCGACTACCTGCTGTCCCCTTCCCTGCAGGGGAACAGTGGAGAAGAGGCTTTCTGATTAACATTATCAAGGAAAATGCTCCCACCTTAATGTAAACAAAGGCTTATTTGTGGGTCCCATTGTATGATCTTCTGTGACCCTCCCAGAGCCAGAGGATTGCTGCTGCGATTTGCATTAGAGAGATGAAAAGTTCCAGAAGCTGAGTTAAGTTATCCAAGGTGACACAGCTAAAAAGTGATGCACCTGGAATTTGAAACCACAACCATCTAGCTGCAAAGCCTGTGTGCATAACCACTGCACCGTCCTGCCCTTCCTCCTGGCCACAGGGGGAGAATGGTTAGACAAAGGTGCAGGACTCAGCCAGCGCTGGAGGGAGGCTGCAAAGACAGGCACCGGGACTGGGTTTCAGAGTTTCTCCCGGAGCTTGCACAAAGGAGAATTCCCAGTAAACTCTCTGGATCCTACAAAGCTCCCAGAGGCAAGACTTCTGGGCTTGTTTACTGATCCCCCACACCCCCAGGCCAGGGTGGGGGCTGGTGAGCTGGACACAAAAGCAGGATAAAGGTAAACTTTCTGCATGTGAGAACCATTCCCCCCCCCCCCACTCCAAGGAGCCGTGTCACACTGTATGTCACCGTCATCAAAGGGGCTGTGCGTAAACTTGAAAAACCAAACGGACCTGTCTGTAGGTGTTACTTATATCACAAGGCTACAGGTGCCTTTATTTCCACTGCACGCTGGTGCTGGAGCGCCTGCCTTCTCTTGCCTTGAAAGCCTCTTCTTTGGACCTAGTCACCGCTGTCCTCACGTAAGCGCCTTTTCTTTGCTCTTTTGGATGAATTATTAGGGGTATCAGGGCTTAGAGGCTTGGGCTGGGGCCTGGGTCTGTTTGTTCATCTCCAGTTCCAGACAGCCGACCCTCTTGCCACATCCATCAGTCACAGCGTCTCCGGAAACAGTTTCACTCAGCTTTAACTGCTTACCTGGGGGAGACAGTTTTGCTACTCAAGCTGTACGGCCCCACACTCCTCTGCTCACAGCACCCCCCCCCCCATCTGTCTCAGGGGGAGAAAAGACCCTGGGGAACTAAGAGAGAATGAGGAAAGGCGCTTAATTCTCTATCCTTCCCAAAGACAGTCTTTAGGAACAGAGTCTGAATTTTACACACAAAAAATTATTCAGCCGCAAGGAAACAACCTCCTCCCTCCTTTCTCCTTTGGCCTACACCACCCCCTCCACCACACAAAGACAAGATTATAGCTGCCTTGTTATGGTTTGGAGCATTTTTCAGGAGTTCATCTGCACAACATAGTTTAAAAGAAACTCATTTTGCCCTCCCACACCTTTTCAGAATAGAGTGCTTCTAGAATGGTAATGGTTAGGGATTTTCCACTGTTTTCTCCCACCTTTTCCAAGAGTGGTGTGCCAGGCTCTTATTTGCTCGTTCGCCCCCTGCTGGTGGCCTCTTGGTAGTGTGTCCTCCCTTCTGAAGCAAAAAGGGATGTTTGAATGCTCAAGAATTTTACAAATGGAGAGGATGTCAGAGATGACCAAGTATGACCTCTTCATTTTACAGATGAGGAAACTGTGCCCCAGAAAGGTAAAGTGGTTTATGGAGACAGATTTGTGTTTTAGTCTAGTTGAAAGAACCCAGGAAAAGGGGCTGTTTGCCTCTCCAAGTGGAAGTTAAATCCATTTGTCTGCCATGTTTTCTTTAAGAATGTTTTTCACAAACCAGGACATTCTTGGCAGGAGTTTAGCTATTTCTCTTCTCAGAAGTCATCTAAGTAGCAACCTTTTAGCTATACTGACTAAAACTAATTTCTCACCTTTCCCTACCCTCTTACCCCCAAGGGTGAACATATGTATTATTCTCAGATCTCTGCATATATTATCAAATTTTATTAAATTCTCAGGATGGCCTAAGAATTATGGATTTAAAAACTCCATTTTATGGGTGAGGAAACTGAAACCCAAGAGGGTCACGGGTTTATATATACCACGCCTGGTATGAAAGAAACCCCCAAAATGAAGAATTTTAGCGGACTAAGCAGTGAGAAATGCATCCTTGCTATGTGGGCGGCAGAGCTAGAATTTAACTCCTGGTGGAGTTAACGCAAAATCTGTGAGCTTTACAGTACAGCCCACAGTAAGCCACAGCAGATGGGTCTTTGCTGCACCTTCAGAAAAACAAATGACCGGAAAACTCCAGAGCAAGCTTAAGGAAACGGAGGAATCACCTGACAGTCTGTTCTCATGGCTGCTCTGATTTCTCCCAGAAGAATAAACACTCAAGCACCCAGCCCACAATCCTTCTTTAATAGCCAGTGTTGAAATAGTCCATTGTGTTTTTCTCAATGTTCCTTCTTGGGGAGGTCCAGGAGCTGGAAATTTGACTCAGGGCTGGAGATCTGGTGGACCTTGGGGTGTCTTAGACACACTGGAGCAGGAAAAACATTTTCTTCCTAAAGAGACTGCCCAGATGGTGGGATGAGGGAAAGCTTTACCTGGCCACCTTTTCCATAATTTGTTCTGCCAGCCTTGTTCTGCCTGGTGATGTTTTAGTGCATAAACTGCAATGTCTAGATGCTTCATTGGATGGATTTTTGGTCACATGCCCAGAGCAAAGTTGACGATCTCCTGGAAGATCGTCAGGGTCAGGAAGGAATTTTCCTCCTCTAGCAAACTGGCCAAGACTGGGTGGTTTGTACCTTCCCCTCTCTCTGGAAGGCTGAGCAGAGGTGCCTGGTGGCTCAGGTCATGGGCATTGGGACTACTGCCTCTGATTGCCGTTGGGGCAAGGAGCTCACAGGCCTGTGCCTTTGACGGGGTGGACCCTCCCTGTGCATGCTGGGTGAGTGAGCCGGCTCTGCGAAAGGTTAGGAGGCATTGGAGGCAAGGGGGACCTCAGCTTCCATCGCCATCACTGTCTCATTCTGAAAGGTGCCTGCAGTCAGCCTTTCTCACACCTAAATGGGAACCCACCTGATTCCTCCACCTGTGTGAATCACGCTTGAGCCTTTCCTACTTTCTAGGGAGCGAGGATGGTGATTATATTTTGGGAAAGCTGATTTTAACAGCTGTGGGCAGAGAGGGTCGAGCGGGCTTAAGGGGCCGGGCTAGTCATTCTGCTGCTGCAAGTAAAGGGCATAGGGGGGAAGGGAGAAGAACAAGTGACGGGTCTTTTTCTGAGCTACAAGTTTGATCTTTGTAATGCTTGACCACAATACCCAGATATAACCAATGTATATGCGCATGACTGAATAGCCACTTCAATAGGAGGATGCCTATTGAAAAATCAGGAACCTCAAGTGATCTTGAGTTCATCTCATCTGTCATTTAGTAGATGAAGAAATGAGAAGTCAGTACATGAGGCTCTCATGACTCCCAGCCCAGTGCTCTCTATAATGGCAATGCAGCGAACCCCCAAAATCAAAAATACATAGCTAGAGCAGTGAACCCAAGACCCTCCCTTGATGTCCCTTTCTGGTCCTGCTGTTGACCATAGGTCACTGTCGGGCTAACCCAAGGCTTCTCAGTCTTTTTTATATTCATGATCACTCTGTCCAGACAACTTTTCTTAGATTAATGCCATAGCAACATTGTGTATCTGTTTTGGTGCCATGTCCTTAGGACAGGCACAAAACATTAATGTCTTGATTTGTTTTAACCCCAATAACCAACCCTACACCTCTGGAGGCACTGTCACCCTCATCGGGGACGCCTTGTCTAACTCAGACCTGGATTCCATATTGCTGGTCCTCAAAACCCTTGCTGAAAAAGGACCCCCAAACAGCTGTTCTTTCCCACCCATCCTGTCCCACCCACATTAAAAAATATCTTAAGTGGCCCTCCCTGGTGGCGCAGCGGGTTAAAGCACAGCACAAAGAAGCTTAAGCCACTTCTGCATGAGTTCGATCCCCGCCTGCCCTGGAGGAAATCCAAATGGTGAGGCAGACCTCTCCTGACCCCCCCGCTGCTCCCCTCAGCAGTGTACTTTGTCGATCTGCCTGTTCTGCTCCCCACTCTGTCTCTGGCTGGTGAATCCTCTCACCCTCCGCATCTCTGGCCTGTACCCCAGTTCTGTACGAATAAATAAATAAATCTTTTTTAAAAAAGTATCTTAAGAGCCAAAATGTTCAAGTATTGCAAGAACCACAGAGTGCCTAAAACAGTGGCGCTACTGAAAATAACGTAGCAATTATTCCTAAGCCTCATGCCTCGAGCATGCTGGTGAAGGGGCCAGGGTCTTTCATAGAGTCCAGAGTTCATGATATCTCCCTTCTCTGTAATAGCAACAAAAAAGAAAGAAAAAAAAAATCTGCTGTTGCTTTTACAAGAGACATTTATCCAAAAAAAAAAAGACATTTGTCCAAAAGGCAAGAAATAATTATAAAAGAAAAATTACATGCTGTATACCTGAGAGAGCCCTTTAAGAAAACTATTAGACATAATCTGGCAGCAGAAGAATGGCCAAGGGGAATCAGATCAGATACGACACTGTGCAACACTGAAGAGATTATAGAGAGTGAATGTGCTATGTAAAGAGAAAACAATCCCTGAGAGTCAAGTGCCTACTGTTCAAAAATACTCCTAATTTTTAAATGCTCACATTCAATTTACCGATTGACTTTTTTTGACAGCTGTTTGTCTGGCACAGACGAGGGAGGGCTCACGCCTGCTGTGGAGTCTGTGTCTAGAAGGGGTCTAACCAACAGTGACCATCTGCCGTCTGGGCATTGTCTCCCATTGCCTTCCATTCGGAATCTATCGAGATCCTGCATGAGGCCTCTTAGTCTCTTCCTCTCTTTTTTAGTTTCTGGGCCAGATGGCATGTGGAGGTGTTTTTACCTTTAGACCTCACTTAGAGGAACATTGCTGAGGTTGAATCCAGAAAGCGGAAAGGGCTTTGGGTTCCAGGCCGCTTCTCCCGTCCTTACCTCCCTCCCCCACTCCTTCTTGTCTTGCCTCCTGCTCAGGATATAAAACCAGCCAATCCATGGGAAAATCAGAGCCCAAACCCAGGCAGCCTTGACCTCTGTTTGGTATGACTTCCAAGGGAGCGATGCATGAATGTGATAATAATCCACTGGACACGTTAAGCCCCTCTGGGCATCAGGAACAGTTTTCCTAGTGGGGCTGGTGATTCCTAGCGAGGGCCCAGAAAGAGCACCCACATACCTGTGAGGTTTGAACTCATTTTCTTTATCGGCAGCACAGTTCTCTTGTGTGTTTGACAGTGAAGATGATGGTAGATTTGCAAACACCCACAAATGGTCTTTGACTCTAGAACTACACATCCCTGCCCTTCTCACGGTGAATGTCTATGTGATCTGTAAGAGGGTTAAGATGTCCTTGGAAAGATGCAAACTTGAGCATTTATAGAAAGGGAAGCAGCTGACCCAAGAGTCAGAAAACTTAGCAAGAAAGCTCTACAGTGTAACGATCTTCATTGACTATATGACCTTGAGCAAGTTACGCTGATTTCCTGGGTTTTAATTTTCTCAACTGTAGAAAGACAGGGTGAGAGGCAAAATCAGCAGCACTTTCCCACATGTGGCTCTCGTATTGCTCATAAAACAGAAGATGAATTTAGTTAAGGTTAGGCAAACTTTTTCTTAAAGAGCCAGATAGTAAATATTTTAGGGTTGGTGGGCCAAAAGTCAAAATCCAGGATATTATGTAGGGACATACATAACCATTAAAATGTAACCATTTAAAAATGCAAAACCATTTTTAGCTGCAGGTTGTGTTTTGTTAACTTGATTCAGGTGGTGCTTGGAAGGACAATTTTTGTTTCAACACTTATATTTTTATTTTTATGAAAGTGAGAATATTGACTTTCCCTGCATAGTGGGGATACAACGCTTCTCATCTAAATAAATGTAACTATGTTAAAGCAAAGGAGGGCTGTGAGGCCCTGGCACGTTGCCCTTGCCCAGCACATCTGCTGTTTGCTTTCTCCTGGGTGGCCAAGTTCTGGGAGCAGATCTCGCTCCCTGGTCTGAGCAGATAAAAACCCAGTTCGTGAAGTTCACTGCACGTGCTGAGCTACCAACAAGATCCCATCAGTCGGGGGTGATTATACTTTGTTGTCATTCAGCACCTGCACCCCAGCAGTCGTCTGCTTGGGGCTCCTGCCGCTTGTGCTGGATATCTGCCAGCTCCAAGACCCAACTAAGAAGGTGGCCAGACCCACTAAGGAGACTTGTAGTGCCTGCAAGCTACCTTGCCAGGAGCATGCCTGTGTCTGCTTGCCACCCCACTGTCGTGGCAGATCAGGGCTGATCACCTAGTTACTAATCCACCTAGGGATTAGACAAGATACAGACATCTTGTCTACCCAGCCCTGTTCCCCTATGAGATGTTGACTGCTCTTTTGGAGGGGTACATGGTACAAATACTAAGATTTCTCATGTCCTGTGTGAAAACAGAAAAATAAACAGAAAAGAAACTCTATCACCCCAAATTTTAAAATCTCTGAATAACTACTTTCAATACATTGGTGCAACTGTACTTATAATTTTTTTCTATGCCTTTATACAGATTTTTTTTGTACCTTTGCAACTTTTTATACAGATATTTTAATGAAAATGAGATCATATATAACAAACTAATTAAACCTGTATTTTATATATACATATGTCACATATGTATATATAAAATACAGGTTTAATTTTATATATATATATGACATAACTAAAACCTGGTTTTTAAAACAAATATACTGAAACACTGTCAAAAAGGAAATTGATTTTTTTTTTAAATAGTATGGCAGTCATTACGGTGGGGGGGGTAGGCAAGTGACAAAAGCTTGGGAAACAAGCTCATTTTAAAAGGACATACATTTAAAATCTCAGGGCCCATAATCTAGTCATTGCTTGGCACAACTTTGTGATCATAGCGGCCATGTCCTCTTGCAAAATGGGAGTAAAATACCCATAGCTCATCCTCATTACTATAGTCATCAGAAAAGTTGATGGACAGATTTCAACTAATCCATCAAACACGGACTTTTTCTTTCTGAATTGTGAGACAATAGGAAGAGGCAAAGAAGCAACTTAAAATACGAGACTGGCATGACAAAGAGACAGACTCATGGGGGCCCAAAGTCCATTCCCTCACCACCCTCCATGAGACACCTTGTTTCAGGGCTTCCTGCCTGCCAGTGTGTCTGCAGAGTAGAACACAGCAAGTTAGGAGCATGGACTTTTTAAACAGACAAGCCTGTGTTGTCACCCAAACTCTACCACCTGCCAGATGGGTGTTTTGGAGGCAGGTTGCCTAGAATTTTAGAGCATTACCCCTCATCTGTAAAACCAACCTCTGCAAGCCTCAGACTGGCGGCTCTAAGGAGATGAACATAGATCCCAGTAAGACATGCCTGCTACAGGTATCACAGACCCTCACTCTTATCAAACCCCAGAGTTAGGTGTGCTACAAAATACAAAATTCTCCAGGTATGAGCAAGGTTATGCAGTGTACAAAAGCAGAATACAGCATACTCCCCTCAAGGTATTGCTTGCTAGGACCACTTAAAAGCATTAATAGTTCTGTAGTGTATGATATGAATATTCATCACCTAGAATAAAGCTATGACTACAGTTTTAAAACTACACATATATGTAGCTCATCTGTATGTGTGTGTAACATACATGTAACACTATGAAGAGATATATAACATCCGTTCAGGGCTGTTTTTTGTTGGGTTATAAGTTTGTACCCAACACACACACACACGTACTGGTTCAAAGCACTCAGACATTAGAATTGTGCGTCAGGGCTTGTGAATATATTCATATAGGGCAATTCTTGCTCTGCTTTCAGGAACACATTGCTAGACATTAGAAGTCAGAGCTGGAGAGGGGAGTCAGATGTAGTGAATAGGAAAAATAAAGAGACAGCCTTGTAATCATAAGAGACTCATCTGCAGTCCCACCTTTGCCACTTACAGACCCAGTTACATGGCAATTGTCTCAACCCCTCTATCTCAATATTTTCATTTACATAATAGAGATAAGGCATACAAATGTCTTAGACTGTGGCCAGAACTAAATGATGCCCCAGTAGAAAGCACTTTGGGACATGCCTGTCACCTAGGAGGTGCGTATCGGGTCACTATGGCTATCAAGCTTCAGGTGTTGCCTAGTGGGGGTGTGGGGGGGCTTTGTCCACCTCTTTACAGCCTCTCCCCCCTTGCAGGGTGATGTTGGACTCAGTGACACACAGCACCTTCCTGCCCAACGCATCCTTCTGCGACCCCCTGATGTCGTGGACTGATCTGTTCAGCAATGAAGAGTACTATCCCGCCTTTGAGCATCAGACAGGTGCGTATGTCTGGAGGAGCCCATCGGAGCTGGGACAGGAGGGGAGAGGTGGTGCTGGCCAAGCTGGGCCCAGAAGAGGGCAGCTCTCCCAGTGTTCAGCGCAGGGGCCAGGAGAGGCCCTGGACCCACCCCAACCTCTACCCAGCTCTGTGGTTTTGGGGCTCGGTTACCTCTCTGAGCTTCATTTTGTTAACAGGCAAAATGGACATAATGCCAGTCTTTTAGAGTTAGTATATTTCACTAACGCAGTAGAAGGATAGCTGGAAGTCTGTAATCAGCTAAGCTATGAGTGCCTGATCATCATGGTTTTAACTAACATTTGTTAATACCAGCCTGGCATAAGACCGACCCCATGCCAACCTCCATTATGAGAAAAAACAACTATGCCCCCAGTTTTACAGATGAAGAAACTGAGGCACAGAGAAGCTAAGTGATTGTCCAAAGTCTCATGGTTAGTTAAGTTTCTTATGAGTTGACTTGTCTGAGCTCTTAATCATCCTTTGTGGTCATCTGATACATGATGTAACACTGTGGCTGACAATAATAGTATGGGTATTGTTACTATAATAACATGATTATCAATGTTATTATTATTCTCTGAGCTTCTATGTCCTTTTTAGTTCTCTACCCCTAAAGCAGGGATGATGGGCGTTGAGCAAGCCAAAGAATATAAAACACGTTTGGCAAGGATTCCGTGAACATGGTTTCCTCACCGTCTCCAGGACCACCCTCCCCTCCAATGCCTACCCCCACCCCTTGCTGGCTGAGTCCTCTCTACCTGAGAAGGAAGCACAGAGCCCTGTGCAAATCTCAGGCTAGAGGGAGGCCAGCTGAGCTTTGCCCCAGAAACCTTCTCAGGGCCTCTGTCCCCAGGCACTTTGCTGACTGCACACCATCGCAGCCTGGGTGGCTGCCCCTGGCAGGTACATGCTGGGGGAGGTAATACAAGTGCTAATCTGGCTGTCAGACCCCACAGAACCTTAACCCCCTGTGCCCCAGCTTGGTGGGCTGCACACTTGGGTTGCAGCTAAGTTTGAAAGGGCAACATGAAGGCTGTCATGACCCTGTCCCCTCCCCATGAATTCCATCTCTCCACCTATGCACCACCCACCCTGCCTTCCAGAGAACCCTGCTTCCTGACTATTCTGCAGGGTAGCAATGAGCCCCAAAGGCTAGCCCCAGGGAACACCCCAGGCAGGAACCCAGACTCAGGAGACAGCTGTCCTACAGGTAAAGTCTGACCTTGGCATTTAACAAGTGCACCCTCTTAACCTCTTCTCCCCTGCTCTCTCATCTATAAAATGGAGGTAGTAATAATACCAACTGGTAAGGCTGTTATGAGGGCGAAGTGAGTTCATTTGTGTGAGATGTTTGCAGCACGGTCAGGCACAGGTCCAGGTACAAGCATGTGTAATCAGGAAGGATTAGCTTTGGTGCAGATGATGAAAAAGTCCTGGAGATGGATGACCATCGTGGTTTCACAACATGAATGTGCCTAATACCATGAAAATGCACTTTAAAATGTAAATGATAAAAAGGTTAAAAAAAGAAAGATAAATTTTGCATTAAATATATTTTACCAGAACAACAAAAGGCCATCAACAGAAGTGAATACCAGTAGGAATGCCAGCCAGTGTGGTTTAACCCCGATGTTCTTAGACAGATGGACGGATTTCTCCCGAGGGGTTGGGCCAAGCCATTGCTAAGGTCCTTTCCAGAAGCATCTCTGATTTCAAATACATATAGTTGCAAGATACCAAGCAACATCACAGATGTAGTTTTTTTTCCCCTATCACCCTTTCAGGAAATAGAAATTTTCACCAAGGTGTGAGGCCAATGAAAATAAAATTTCCTCCAGGAGGGAGCCAGGTTCCTAGCATTCCCTGTGGGAGGAGCCAGGCTTTTGACTTGCCACCTGGAGCTGATTGTCTCTGATCTGTTAAAGGTCAAACTTGGGTGTGAAAGGTTAGTTAGTCTCCAGAGAGCACCTGTCCCTCAGAGTTGCTTGGACACGGAGCCTCCCAAAGTCCCACAGTGGGAGGGATGCCCAGCGGTGGTGGCTTCTGGCCATCTCTCCTGAGTGTCAGCAGAAACTGTGGTCAGGGGTCAGTCAGCTTTGCCTCTGGACACTGCTCTGCGAGCTGTCCGTGCTCCTGGCACAGCAGGCTGTGACATGTCTCTCCTGAGGCCCTCACCTGCCTTTAAGAAACTCCGTCTGGACTTCAGAGTTATCCCAATGGCCCCTGGCTGTGCACGTCTACAAGGAAGGGCAGGTGTGGCCACTTCCCAGCCCGTGACCTGGGGGGTCCTAATGTCTCTGAGCTATGCTGCCTCCCCGGAAACAGCGTCCACCGCTTACAGTTGAGAAGATGGACTGAGATTCTGTGTAGAATGTGTTTAGCAAAGTGTCTGGCAGTGGGCATTGCTCCCTCGCCCCGTAGCCAGGAGCCCCTCATTATTCCCATGGGTGGCAAGCAGCTTTCTCTCTTCTCTTCATTTTTTTACTTACTGTCTATACAGGTCTCCCTCTCAACCTTTCCAGTTCATTTGTCAGCTTAGAAACTTTGAGACCAAAGAGGGGAAGAAAGGGGAAAGAGAAAGAGATTGCACGCACTAGAGCGATAATGTACAGAAGGGCAGTGAGCAACAGCTGTCTGTCTTCATGATCTTTTTAAACTGGTGGTAGCAGAGGCACTTGAGCCCGAGGCCTCCCTGTGCTGACCAAGGAGCTGCTGACCGCCCTGCAGCAGGGTGTCAGCTGGCTGCCCTGCCGGCTGCAAAGTGCAGTCACAGGTTGCAAAATAGAACTACATTAGCTTGCTCTGGCCTTCCTATTGGCTCTTTTAAGATAATAAATTATGAATCCTGGCAAAATCAATCAAAATGTGCAAGGGAGCATCTACATTTCCCAAGCATGATTTTTTAAAAGATCATTTGCCAATCAAGTTCCAGTAGCCAAATATCTGGAAAACCACACATCTTGGCCTCACCCCTACTTTCTGGAATTCTGTCCTGAGCCTCCACATACCCACTTACCGCACCCATGAAGCCGCTTTTGCTTGAGAACTTCATTCTTGCTTGCTGTGCACAGAGATTTCTAGTTTGGGGTGCCTGTAAGTGTTCCTGGGGGACCTGAAGTGACAGGTAAGAAGACCAGGCTCCAGCTCCCTCTCTTCACCCCATCCCCTCCACCAAACCCCCTGCACTCAATTTGAAGACAGAACAACACAGAAGTGGTGAGGGCTTGGTTGCAGGCACTAACCCACTTCTCGCTGGGTCACTGACTCTTTGTGTGATGCTGAAAAGGGATTTCACCCTTCGCCTGACCTTCTTCACCTCCTTTGCAGACTCCAGACCCTCATAGCACTGTGTGGAGGACAGTATGAGAAACCACAAAGAATACCACATGGTGATGGGCACATACTGACCACTCAACACATAGAAATTTCCATTTTTACCCAGTGGAAATTTTATTGGAAGAAAGAACCTAGAAAAAAAGTGTAAATCCCACTGCCCTTGGGTATTGACACCTGGAAGATGAGGGAGACGGGTTTGGAGTCCCATGTGGGTTTTTCCTAACAAGATTTACATATTGGGTAGAGAAGTTTGAGAATTGATACAAATGAAAGTGTCTAAAAATCTCTAAACCAAAACCAGATAGATGAATACGAAAGCAGTGGAAAGTCTGAGGTCAGGTGTGTGGCAATCATCCCGTCCCAGGGGCACCCCCAGGAGAGACCCCGCCTTTAGCCACCTAAGGCAGACCTTGCACACCCCTGAGACTTCCAGCTGACTGTGACCTGGTCACCCAGCGCTTGGCGCTCCCTGCCCTTCCTAATCACACTCCCGAGACAAGCACATCTCTCCTGTCCTCATCCAGCCCTTCTCATCTTCTCTCCGTCCAGTTCCCGACACTACTCCCAGGCTCTCGTTTTTTGTTTTTTCCATTTTGTGGTCTAAATCATTCCACAGGCTTGAAAGGAAAGTCAAGAAGGCAAGTAGACAGGGCTGCAGCAGCTCTGGAGGAAACCTGAGCGCAATTTATCATTTCAGGTTTTCCCTTGTAAAGTCCTTCCTTTCAGTGACAAGCCACAATTGATGTTGCCCATCTCCCCAGTCCACCAGCTCTCTTCAGTGCTGCCCCAGGCAAAAGACTTTCCCAACTCCCTATGCTAATAAATCATGCTAATTATGGCCCAGGCTATGTAGCTGGGCCTCCTCCGACCCAGACTGTCTGCCTCCTCCAGCCAGCCCTGGGCTTGCTTTGTTCTGGTTGCTTCCTCAGCGAGCCAGAGGCCCGGATCGGAAGACCTCATTCCCTGAGAACAAATGCAGTCTCCAAAGAACAAATAATGACAGGTGACATGTCAAAAGCTTTACTGTCATCCAGGTAACTGGGCTGTTTTCTTAGTATGCATCATTTATTTTCCTTTTTGCAACAAACTTCTAAGCCGTGGAAACTATGATTATGCCTATTTTATAAACAAAGGCAGCTGCGGTTCAGAGAGATTCAGAAACTTTGCTAGGGTTGAATAAGATGAACAGCCAGGACTACAAATCAAGAAGTTTCTCCTCCACAGCCCAAGTTCAGTTACTCCACAAAGTCCTGCACCTTCCCCTCTTCCCCTTGTGACAGAATCTTAGAATGGGGACAGGAATAAGAGCCACATGGCACCCCGGCACCTGGATGCTTCCTTGTGCTCCCCAGTCAGTAGCTCCCCAGTTCTCCTGCAGATGGTCAAAGGACACCACTCAAAATTCTAAGCCTAAAGTAATTCTTTGGAAATGTTTGCCTTCTGCTGCAATGGCTATTTCATTATAGTTTTTAAAAGTTAAAAGAAAACTCCCTGAAAATGTTGCTTCAGGTGAGATGCCAAGAAAACAAAGAGTTGCTTCAGGAATTTCTACTTCAGAAGGTTGTGGAAAGAGCAAGCCATTTGGAATCGAGATGACAGAAGTTACTTTTCAGAATATTTCCATAGATGAAAAAGACATCAGAT